GCACCAGGCACTACTAATGCTAAGATCAGCCCTGATTGGCACTGAAGCTATAAAGCCTTCAGGTGAGTGCCGAAATAGATATTTGTATTGTGGACGTCGATGTGTGTACATCGCTTGTGAACGAAAGTCACTTTCAACAAATTCTTCAAACAGAAAAGAATATCAATCTTCGTTTTAACACCAGATTTCTGTTAAACGTCTAATAAAACTGTGAAAAAGAGTTCGAAAATCGTATCAATATCTATTCGATAATGGAGGTGAGTGGAATGCGTTATTAAATTTTATTCTGTTTCAAAGATATTCTTTATAATAATTTGGATTTCAAAAAATAAAATAAATTTTGTGTCATGGTTTGTTGGATTTTCAAAATCGAAATAAGAAATTCTTAAAGTATACGACGCTGAACATTTTTAATACGCGCAATAATCGTTTACGAACGTTAATTACATTATCTAAAAATCCTGCAATTGCTCAGCCCATCCTTTATCCTGGTTATCCTGTATACACAGTGGCTACCAAAATCCCATTCGGACTCTGTCGAATATAACGTGCGGGAGCGCGGTCAGACTCCAGGAATTCCTCCTTGGCCATACATCCCTTCCAATAAGCCGGCATCGGAACGCGGAGCCCCGCATCCCCTTCAGAATATTGATTAACCATCATTTTCAGATGACGCCTACGTTCCGTTGGGTGTTCCTGCTGGCGATGGTGGGCCGCGCCGCGAGCGTGCCAAGGCCTCTCATGGTCGACGCTTGCGCCCTGCTCTGCAATCCCGGGGCAGAGACTGAATCCGAGCGAGAGCGGGATCCAGTACTATTTCCCCGATATCCCAAGGTAAACTGCTAGCTTGAGACAACCAGCAACCAGCACCAGGCATGGATTATTGCCAGCACCTGCTTAAAACTGTGTTCATACGAGTTGACAATCCCCTTGGAAGTCAACTGTTTTGCTCTGAGATCGTCCCTCCAAGCGAAGTTAGGATGTTACTGTGAAGCTTTAACACCCTTAAGTCCGAACACTATGCGCCTTCACGAAAGCTGGAGACTCAACTTTCTGATAAAGGAATTGGCGAGCGATATCTTGACTGTGATTCTCAAATCGAAAGCCGATACATTCATTCTATGCGAGATCCACAATGAAGTTTTCAAGGAAGAGATTGCAAAGGGAACATTCTGGGGAACAGAAAATATGACAATGGACTGTATAACAAAAAAAAATAACGTTACTTCGACTTCGGACGAAGGAGGACGTAGCAAACGAGAGGTTGATCACGAACCGGAATGGAAACCAGAGGAATGGAAGGAGGTAATGGAACCAACGGTGGAAACGGTAGCAGAAGAAACCGAACCAGAAACAACGGATTCTAAGAAGCAGGATGAGAGGAAATGTTTCGAGCAGCAAATAAAGGAGAAGCTGAAGTTCCTGCAATCCGACAAGATCGATGAACAACATTCCTCCATGGATCCACAGAGCTCGAAAGACAGTGATAGTGAGCAAGCAATACGAGAGGCGAATCGATGGTGCGAAAGTGTATGCAAATTAGAAGAAAGAGTTAAAAAATCGTCAAGATGTAAATGTGAAGAGATCAGTTAAAAAGTTAAACAATTAAAAAAATGCATGAATAAAAAGACAGGCAGGAAAGAGTTCGTGTGGAAAAACATAATTTTACATATCTCACATATTAATCGGTCTCTAGTCAATCTATTATGTTAGAAGTGTCTCATCGTAATCCGGGAGACGTAAAATAGAAATAATCTAAAGAATATATGATTTTCTTTCCTACTTCTGTTATTCAAATTGATTTTTATCGCGACGATTTAACATATAATAACAATTGTAAAACGCAAGAGAAGTTAACAAATTATGATTGATGGAACTAACAAATTGTTATCTATTGTAACATTTTATAATATGCGTAATTATAATAATTACGTTATATTATCGATAGATTGTGATAATTCAAGCGCTATGAAACTATTAATTCGCTATTTCATATATGTTCCACTTATAAACAGATTTGTATTTGCTCCTAATAGTTTTAATATACGCGAATCTTTTTATATGCGATTTGTATTCTTCTATTTTTTATATTCTTATTTATATTCATATTTATATCTTTATACTTTGTATTTATATTTACTAGTCGATTTTTACTTACATTTCCATATAGTCCGTACGAAACGTTTATCGAAAAGTATAAAAACGAAATAAATTACAGAAAAAATTCTGGGAAAATCATTACAAACTTGATGTGTATTAATATAATTGCAATAATATAATTAAAGACTATTAAGTTAATGATTATGATAAACGATAAGATTTTTCAATTGTAATGTTTAATATTGTAACCGCTTTAGGCTTAAGAGATTTCTACACAGGTCCAGTTCACACGATTGCGTTATATATTCTGTTTTGATTTAGGAAACGATAGAATTTTCACCGAACAATTCCTTCAAGTATTTCAGATATCTACTTTTCCAAAGAAATCTAATTATACAATAAAACATGATCAAAATGAATATAAATAATTAAACGCATTTGATTTAATTATCACAACGTGTTAAGAAACAATTAAAAATGAAAATATTGAAAATTCTAAAAAAATTACGTTTTCATGAAATTACATCCTATAATACATCAAGACATTGCCTCTTTATCGTATTGCGTACAATACGTAAACAAAAATGTTTGTCTATATATTTTATATTTTGCATGTATTTGTTTCTTAAAAATATCCTAATAGACAATTTATCATATCGATACTTTCTTTAACAATAATTATAAATAAAAATAGATAATTGCTCTTAATATAGATAATCGTTGCTAAACTGTAAAAATTTAAATTTAGTAAATTCAATAAGTCTTAATTAACTCGTATAAATTTATTAATTACATATAAAAATTATTATTCTTCATTAAAGTAAATTGATTATATTTACAAATGCGTTTATGACGAGACGTAAAGTTTGATCGAAAGACTTGCGACGTGTGAGCAGGACATTGATGTGTGATATGTGTATTATGCAATAAATTCTATTTATATGCGCGCACGATATGCACGGGCATTCTCGCGCTAATTATAGTTTACCTAAAGCAACCAATAATTTTATACAACGATAGAATATATTCAATAAGTAAATAAGCGAACGAAACAAAATCCATGTCTTCCACTTTGTAGTTAAATTATTATTCTTCGGCAATCGGCTTCATATGATATATTGTATAAACGATAAATGTATACTGATAAAGAGCGCAGGTAGCTTATACTTGTTGTTTAGTACGATAAGGGATATCTTGGCCGGCATCAATACGTCGTCGATCGCCATCGATTGCTTCCGATTGTCGGAAAAATATTAAATCTTGTAAAACAATCAATAAATTATATTGATCATAGTAATCGATATAATCGACGATGTGTTTGTTTACATCGTGCCAAATTCAGAAGAAAAAGTTGTGACGCGACAATAAGACGTAGACTTTAGTATGCCTATACGATGTACTTTCAATCGTATCGCGCTCTCGGTTATCAATCGATAAACACAAAGCACATTTTGATTCTATGAATCTTTTAACACAGCAGACGAATCATGTCTGCATTTGCAACAGAACGAGAGAACAATGGTTAAACAGAGAATTACTTGTTGTGTGCCTAGGAAGAATTATAATTGTAATTTAATTATGTACATATAAGAAATATATTTGAAAATCGGTCGATTGTCGAGAGCGTGATTAAATTTGGCTCTAATATAATTTATTAACTTACATTAACGTATATATAATTATTTAAATTACTTAATTGTATATACATACACATATATGTATATACATATGTATATTTAAGAAATTTAAATATATGTATATATATATATATAAATTATATTCATATAAATATTCGTATTACTCAACATGTATATCGTAACGTAAAAGAAAGCATATGATGCTAAATATCAAATTTCTCTCATGTATTTATCCATAATTTATAATTACGCGCTCTGTAACAATCGCTCTTTGTAATTGACATTCGATATACAAGCGAAACATTATTATTTTAAAAGATTTTTAAAGCTAAATAAAGTAACTCCTTAAAATATTCTATCATGAAAACTCATACCGGCAATTCAACTTCTTTTAACAGTAAACCTTCTAAACCTATATGTACTCTATTTCAAGATTGTAAATTAATTATGTATACAGATGTACAGATCGGAAAAGTTTAATACATATTATATACTTAGTTACACATTAATAAAAACAATGTTTATAGCAATAAAAATTCTTTAATTATCTTAGTATTGTTACCTTTTTAATAAAAATTAAAATGTCTTGTAAATAATGGTAATATAACAAACTTGCGATATTTTTAATTTAATAAATAATTTTTTTAAATATTTTAAAAATATACTGGAAATATTGATTACTGTATCATACGCTGAAAGTGTAGCAAAGTCTTTTATCGACCAATAGCGATGGGAGTACTCAGAGAAAGTAATAGTGCCGATATCTTATCGATGACGAAGGGTAAGTCTCAGAGTTTCAAATTATTATATGTATAGACTTCGAAAAGAAATATCATCAACAATAGATATAGATACTATTTTAACAACAATAGATACTATTTTAATACCACTTATTGATAATATTTTAAACATTTAAAGAAAGAACATTTATCTATCTTTACTTATCAATAAATATTTTACTCTTTTTATCAAAATTATATACTAGTAGATAAGTATTTGAATAATAGTTGAAACAGTTCGCAATGAAAAATTACTTTATATATTTTTCCTTTAGCTTACATTATATTAGACATAGATATTAAAAAGACTAATATAAAGTTACTAGAGAATTATTTCATTAATAATCATATTTAAAAAATTTTTTATTTCTTATAATAAAATAAAATCATAAAACTAAATCTATTAATAATGTATTTTACAATAAAGTATTTTAATACAATTGTTTAACAGAAACAATGTTAAAAATTGATATTGATCTTAAACCGTATTAGTTTTATTACAATTTTCGATATATAGTCTGTATGCTGCGTCCGAAACAATCTTTATTTCCCTGAAGTAAAAGGCAATCAGGACGGTCTTCAATTACATTACACTTTCTGATAGCTTATTATCTTTTTCACACACTACATCCTTAGAGCATAGGCTACTCTCTTATAAAAGCCGATTCAACCCTCGAAGATGCATCAGTCGAGTACTGTCTCTTGGATACACCGCCCCGTTCATTCAGGTGAAAGCATTACGTATTTTTAATTACAATAACTATATAAATAAATGTAAGTATATGTATTGTGACGGACGTTGTCGCAGTATTTAATGTCTCTTCTTATTATTTCCACGTTATATATTTCTTTCTTCTATGTATATACATAGAATTTCATAAACTCTTAAGCGAATCTATCTTTCCGCTAAAATATTTCTGATTTCAATAACTTCTCAATTTCATAGAGCGACTTTATGTAATATTTTTACATACAAACTGGTCATCGTCAGTTATTACGAATTTTTATATTTCACGGCAAATCAATATCCTCTTGGACGAACTCACGACGTTACTTGCAAATAATGTAGGTCGACTGCGTTTGATAGAGACATTTGTCTTCGAGTCGTTTCCCCGAGTATAAAAGCTCACAGCTTTTGCGCCGCTCGTAACATTCAGTGACCGACAATCTTCTAAGGATCAAGTTCTTTTCGTTCGCCTAAAAGAGAGTAAGCGTTTTTGTTTTATATTGAAATTTATTAATTGAATTTTTTTGAAATTCATTATTGCTTACTTTCAATTATTACCAAACCGATAATGATTTATTAAATTTATTCTATGACAATAAAACAAAATGAAATAATAATTATCAAAAATTGTCGTTATAAATGATCAATAAATTCTTTACCTTCTGTTTCAGACGAAAATAGATCAACGCGCCGACATGGTTTCCATTCGTCTTATTCTGGCTCTCGCTGGTATCATGGTAGCCTTTGTCATCAGCACAAATGCTGCCTACAAACCAATCAAACCACCCTTTAACGGTAGCATATTTGGCAAACGATCTAACACTGTGACTGGTAAGTACAAGATTTGCATTCATATCTTTATAGAATACTCATAAAGCAATTTAATTTGATAAAAAGGGGGACAATCTTAAAGCTTACATTTAACATAAATAGATAAAACTAACTCCATCTGTCAAATATAGTTTACATTAGAATATATTAGTTAATATAATTTTATTATATAGCATATTCTTTTATAAAACTTACCTAAAATACATCGATTTCTCTGCTTTAAACTTTCATTTGGTATGTTCTATAATTTTTAGATATTAAAAATTATTTGAAGAATTTTATCATTCTTAAAATATTGTTTGCTCAAAAATGATTGCAATTTATATAATTTCTTTGCGCTAATTTCTATATTCGTCAGACTGATTGTTTTTTATTATCTCTCAAAAAGATAATCAATAAATTATTTTCTTTTTCAGATGAAGTTGCCAATCGTGCTCTGTCAGCCATTTGCGAGGCCGCCAGCGAAACCTGCTCCGCTTGGCTGTCTCACCAAGAATCCAACTGAAGATGAAAAACCGACCGAGATAATCCACGATTCTCGCCGACTGATCAACTCACGAAACAATGTAACTAACCGAACTTGTAAAACACCCGCAATCATGCACTTGAAAGTTCGCCACATTGTCTTCTATCAATAATCGTTACATTATGCAAAAATTACCACGTCATATCTAATCGTACCTTTATATCTAAACAATATTATAATTACAGATGGTTTAAGCTTCCATCTAGCTTTGGTTATCAGAAGCATCCCGAATAAAGTATTATGATTTCAAGAGCTGATTAATATTATTTTAATTATATTTTCACCTCCTTTCTCTCATTACATAAAAATAAAAGTGTCTATTAATATCCACTTTATAATACTAACTACTCATTTTTATTTTAGTTATTATATAGTAAGAATGCGACAATTTTTTAAACAATTACGTAATAAAAAAAATTACCACGCACGCGATTATCCAAAATATTTAAAGTAATCTAATGTCTGAAATAATAAAATATATATTTAACAAAATGTTTAATTGAGTAATTTGAATAATTAAAAGAGTTCATTGAAACTCGATTAAATGTTATATTAGAAGCAATTTGATATGGAAAGCACGTGCCGTTCACCTGCCTGGATAAGGGTTATAGTCTATTGTCTACGGCCGAAAAAATCAATACGTAGCAACCGAAAAAGTATTGACATATATGTAATTTTATCGTTTTATAAACAAGTTATTTTATACTTAAATTATACATGAATATTCTACTTGCAAACATTCAAGTGCAATAATAAAATCGTATTAATAAAAAAAGACATTTTGCTCATACAATATTAGATTTTATTTTCAAATATTCACAGTAATAATAATATTCTGCAGTAAATCGATTGCATTTTATACTAAATATATAGTATAAAAAGTTTTTTTTTAAGAATTAGTTTAGAATTTACATCAAATTAAAGTATAAAATATTTCATTGTGGACGATAAATCTTCTGCTGATAAAAGCCGGTCGAGAAATTTATTCTCAATACTGTTAAAGACACGTTGGACGTTGGTGTTAATTTACAAGACGTACATGAACTAAATATTTAATTACTCTTTAATCAAGTATAAATACGCTGAGCCTGATGGAGTTAAGCTCACTGCACTCATTTTACTTTCAGGTAAGAATATTATTTGTTTTTATATGCTGTGTAATCGAAATCTACCTTTTTATTAAATTCAGATTTTTACAAAAAATTCGTAGTTCTGAATTTTATATCTCTGTGACATTAAATTCAAATCAATATCTTTCTCGTGGTTTTCAGATAGAAAAGTAAATGTCATATCTCTGAATATATAATATAGCTTTTTACGGAATTTTAAAGCAAACAGTTTAGCAAACGGTGGTTAAAATAGATATTTTTATTCATAATTAAAACAACTGGTATTATATATTAATCAAAACTATTTAAAAAAAACTTATTTTCAGAGTCAAGATTATTTATTTTCAATATCGTTATTTCTTTCTTTCTCTTTTCTTTTCTCTCTCACTCTCTCTCTCTCTTTCTCTCGAAGAGATTAAATATCCACATACAGAACTTTCAAGCAATTTTTCGCACCGAAGGCGTTATTGATCTTGCGTTGCAGGTGATATCCGAAATTCTCTTTATTTATTTCTACTCATGCAATTGCATGGTGTCCAACATTTCCGGAAACGTTCTACGCATCAATTCTACAGAATGCATTTTACTTGCGCGGGCGCGCGGTTGAATATTTCCTTCGTGCGTGTTACGCGAACGAGGACAAACAGTTCTCGGCGTGATTCAAATGTGATGGGGTTTCACGACGTGCAAACTTCCCGTCGATTCTCCATCGCCCACAATTCTCGAGCACTCCTCGGTCCACTCTTCGCGATAATGGAAGAAGCCGTACGTACGTGAAAAATCGCTCAGTGTTCGTCGAACACCCGCGAGACGCGCATTCTTCCCGCGAGAATCGGTAGAAATATTTTCTATGGCAGTCACTTACGCGTTGACCGTGATCGAGAATGCCACGTCGACTGACGCACGTTCATCCACCGAAATAATTGTTGCAACTGACTCTAAGGCGTGTAATCAGTGTGATGTGCTGCTTAAAGTGTGAAGTTGCTCTCGAAAACTGAACTGTGCTTGATTTATTACAGACACTGAAAAACTGCGATATTTTCGAGATGATGCTGCAGAGGGTTCATCCTCGTCAAATCGGAGGTGTTTTCTTTAACGGTAAATAGCATCTTTTCATGTTATATTTGTTATTGTTATACATGTTATTACATCTACAAAGAGATGATATATGTTTTGTAGTTATTTAAATATAATACATCTAAAGAATAATGCTTTGTCTTAAATGCTTAAAACATTCAACATTGTTTTTTTTCGTAACGTTTCAGCTTTTCTCATTGGAATCGTCATATTATTGATCTGTCAAAATACCACAATTGCGGAGGAAGTACCAGCTTTTTTCCTGAAAATAGCAAAAGTACCTACGTTGCCCAGGGTAGGTCGAAGCGGAAGATTTGAAGATTTCTTTTACAAAGCTGAGAAGAATATACCTCGAATTGGTAGAAGCAGTCAACAGGTATCTTATTATTGGGCTACTAACATAATTATCTGTTTTTCGTATCATTGTATATATTTTAAAGATTTTACTTATATAATAATTATACTAAATAATTCCTGAATTGCATTCTTGAAGTCAACCAATCCTATGTCGCTGCAAGACGAACAGGAAATTTACTCTGGTTTAACTAAAAGACGCATAGATTATCCTTCAAAAGGTTAGAGATTTTAATATATTTTTTCGTATTATTCTAACTGAATAATCCTGTAATGCCTTGTTTTTTTAATTAAAATTATATATAATTTGTCTAATTTAAAATCCTTGTTTTTTTGTTGTCAGTTGAAGAATGGACCTGGCAGAACTTTCCACTAGCAATTGAAGGTCCAAGAGATTTATGGCGAGCATTAGCTGGATATTCGAGGGATGGTGACGAGTAAGTTTTATAAAACCACATTTTGTGAAAAAATGTTTGCTAATTGATATAATTTGATGTTTAAAAAATATTACAGCCTATTGAAATATACATATATACATTTATGCATATATGTATATTTATCTAATGGTTTATATGAGATTGATATAATTATTAGAAATATAGAATCTTACAAAAACTATTATCTCACATAATTATTTCAACATATTTTTGATAAAGAATATTTGTCGATAATTAATAATTATTTAATTAATTCAAGTATCGAGAATGAAGTGTGGCAGAGAAAGAAGAGAACCGGAACTGAATCAGCAACCACACAAGAAAAATAGCAAAAACGTAAAATTCTTCGCTTCGGAAAATTTAAATATCATACGGCTTTTACTGTTATTTGGTGATGGGAAATAATTAAAATAATAAATGCGTAAATATAAAGTGATTTTGCGCCTTTCATCCTTTTTCAATTTTTTTGCGCTGAAAATTTGAAAGTCTCAATAAATAATCAACTTTCTAAATAAAGACTTAATTTGTTTTAAATGACAATAATGTACAATGTATTAGCAAAATTTGACAATTTGTAGGAAATATAGTATTATCCAGAATGACCAGAATACAGATTAATAATATTGTATATTTCATAATCAAACAATTTTAATGGTTGTTCTTATCAATGTTCGAATATTTATCGGAAGACAATAAAATCTGAAAAATTTAATTTCTCCTTCTCTTGTTCCTAATATCCCGAATTAAAAAGCCTTCAGTAATAACTTTATTATAATTAATAACGTAGTAGATACTGCTTTATATATCACTTTACGCATCACTAATATGTTATCGTCGTGCGAACAGACATTTTACTTCGAATATAATTAACATTTTTTATTTTATAATTACGTTTGACTGACAGAATCCACACCACATTAAGATTAAAACCTTCGCGAGTGTTTATGCATGCACTATTTATTTATTGTATTGTAATTAATTATGAATAAGAGATTGTTAATGAATAAATGATAAACGAAAATAAATAAATTATAAGAAATAATGAAGGAAAAAATATCTGCAATCCTGATACAATGATATACATATATGATATTCGTGTCTCAATAATTGTAAACTAATGTAAGCCAATAAATTTTCAAAGTCAGTAATTATGTTTGACAAATTCAAAATCATATAACAGATGATTCAAGATATTAATAGCAATTCGTAACAACAATCTGATCACACGTCTGATCTGCGAAGCGACAAACGCGAACGACTTTCCATCGATAGAAATTAATAGACTTTGTATGTTCAACGCGAAACCTATTCCTACGATATTATTGTCACTGATCTAGAGCTGTGTACTTACTTGGTACTTCCAGTATTAGGCTCGACGAGAATACGAGGTGTGTTTAATCTCAGTTAGTTTAATTCGAACTTTGATCGAATTCGTGCCTACCATCGATGAAAATGCAGCTCAGACGCTCGGCTGATAGAGTACGACGCAGAGTCGAAGTTCGCGGCGCACCATGTGCGCTACACACGCAGTAATTTCCACCCGCCGTACCCGCTACCTCTTCCCCATCACCTAGGCAGTAGGCACGCCGTGGACGGTCGACCGCGCGTCGTGCGGGTCGTGCCTCGCAGTGCCACGTACCCCCACTACCTGTAATACCTGCGCGCGCCGCCGCGCGGCCAACGGCGCGCGTGGCGTGACTGGGTCGCGTCGGCGCATTAGGCGCGTCGCAGGTAAACAACTCGCCGCGGGAAATGGTGCGACGTATTTATGTATTTCCTCTTTCGGCTTTCGCGGAATTTTGATGAAATAATCGCGCCGAAATTAAGCAGATCGTATGTTGCATCGAGTAGTGCGTACTCTCCGAGAATAACGAGTACCGGCGGGCGTCGCGCGTCGCGTCGCAGCAAACGACTCGCCGCGAGAAACGGTGCGACACAGCGTGTGTCTCCTCTTTTGCGGTATTGAATTTTGACGAAATAAAGCACAAATTAAGCACCGAGTCGCGCCGAGATTAAGCACACGCGTATGTTGCATTGCATACTCTCCGGGAATAACGAGTAACGATAATGCTGTGTAGAAACAGAGGCTCACACAGCACTAATATTATTTCGTCAATTTGCATCGCGAGTGTATCGTGTCTACTAAAGTGAGGTGCAGTTGACGTGAGACGAGATGCACGACACACAGAGATGCTACTGGACCGTTTACGATTGCTGTCGCAGATGCGGGAATTGCAGAGATGGAAGATGCATCGGACAACGAGAAACGTCGCGCAATGGTGAGTACTAAATTTCTACTTTAATCCGTTCTTTTTGGTTATGTACTTTCTCTCACTTTTTATTCAACAAATTTTCTTATTTCATGTATAAGGAAATATATATATATATCTCAGACAATGAGTGCAGAAGTATATATCATTAAGTAGTGTATATAATATATATGTATAATTTTATGTATAAAATCAAGCGGGAGCATCGCGACGCCAAGCATAACGTAAAAAAAGTCGAGTGATTCTGTGAGTACGACATTGTCGAGGCACCACCAGATTAGCTATATTTCGGATTTTTAATCTTATCAGATAGGATTCATAGAATGCAAATTGAGAAAGAATAGATTAAATTGTGCGTGCGGTAATTGAAATGTTCCTAACAATCGCATTGATTTCCAACGGTAAAAATCGACATAATTATGTATTGTCAATCTGATAATTTTGCATCTTACGCGTCGCAAATTTTTATTTATTATTTATATTGAGCTTTGCATATTCATGCTTGCGCAATTGTTATGCAAATATGTGAAATTAACATTTTCATATTTTCTATTTAACTTAATGTTTTTTCTTTTGCAATATGTGGATATATACGTATTTATATAATTTTTGTATACTTATATTTCTAAAATTAAATATATATCTATGTTTTTAAATAATTTTTGATATTACATTTATAAGCAAACCTTATAATTTTAGTCCAAAATTACGAAATATTAAAGCACTTATATAAAAATTTTTATTTACAATACATTTTAAAAATTATTTATTTTCATATAAATATCATCTATCGCGCTTTGATATTTCTACACATTTATATTTGCTACATTTATATGTCCACATAGGTATATTTGTCTTTTTATTCTATTATCTATATCTCTTTTTTCTCAACTAATATATATAATTTTATAGTGATTATTCTAATCATCCGAATCTTTAATAGAGTATTCTGTGTACAGCCGTGGACACATCGGTTGCGACACTTTTTGTAGGTTTCTAATATGTATTTAATATACATAAAATATGCTTTATAGATAACTAATAATATTTTGCAAATACGAACCACGATGTTACTATCTTTAGTCTAAAGATAGTATAACACCAATCGTGGTCTGCATTTGCAAAATATTAGTGCGTTTTGAAACCTATAAAAAAGAAAGTGTCGCAACCGATGTATCCATGACTGTACATATGTGACATTTCATATCTGATAAAGAAGAAAATTTCATGATTTAATTTTTATTACAATATCAATAAAAGAATATCAATAAAATATAGGTTGCTAAAAATTCCAAATATCGTTAACGACTTTATCAGCAGTCATCAACTGCGTAAAAGTGTTGAGCGACGTGCGTTAAAATCGTTTTCTGGTTTATCAATTGTTATCAATGGTTAGCATTTTATTTCCAAAAAAAGCGCGACAGATGATATTCAGATAAAAATTAATATTTTTTAAATATAATATAAATATAATTTTTATATAAGTACTTTTATATAAATAATAATATTTAGTTATTTTTTTAAACAATTTATTAACACGCACGCAAAATGTCTAATCATCAATTTTAACGCTTGAAAAGGTTCATACAGATAAGTTAATCAAAAACGATTAAAAGATATAAGTCATTACTTTTATCGTATTTATATTTGTGATAGATCATATATATTTTATTAATTTATCATTTTTTTTGTTATTTTATTAATATAAATCAATTCCAAATTATTTTAATAAAACATTAAAAGTATTTATTCAACTGCAACTGAATAATTAAGTATCGATTAGAATTATTAAAATAAAAATTTAATAGATATTATAATAAAATAATTTTAAAACTTTGAATAAATATTATTAGTATCTTTTTTCAAAATAAAGGGACTGACTTATACCTCTTTTTTGTTCGCCATTTCTTCATCGAAAGTTCGCATCTACATATACGAGATTATTATCATATTACGATACCGTTACAACAAATCATAATTTTTTATTACGCTTTGTTGTAATGATGTTACATTGAATATTAAGACAATATTTCTTCAGTATGATGTCTTAACATCTAACATATAGTATATATGTACTGAAATCCATAATTTAAGTTAAGAAATATATTTAATTAATTTAAGTAACATAAAGTTTTGCCAGAGAAACAGAAAGAAAGAGAGAGGCGGAAATCGAGAGATAAACAGACACACAGAGCAATGAAAATTAAATCGAACGATAGAGATTGATTTATTTATTTATTACTTACCAGTTTTCTCACCTATTTTATATTGCACAATTACAATATGTTATCTAAAACATACTTTTTTAGCTTCCGTTTAAATTTATCTCCTTTGCACTGTTTTATCTTGGGTGGTAAGGTGTTATACACTTCATAAAACGTACTTTCCTGCGCATTTTTAGTTTGAGAAATAAATATACACACATTATAATATAGACTCTGTTTTACAGACATAAACTGTAGCTTTTGCAGCATATTTTTCGCTTCGGTATTTATGTCACATTGTAATATAGCTCTCATGACCCGATTTTGCCCTTCTTGCAATCTCTCCATTTTACTCAGATTCTTATTTTTATATTTCTTATTTTTCTGTAATTTTTGCATGTTAAACAGTAATGTCGCAAAATGCTCAAAATAAGGTGCTATACTTGATTCGTAGATAATACACATAGTGTTAGGTGATACATAACTATTGATCCTATTTAAAATACTCATTTTTTCCCCTATCTTATTACTAATTATATGATTACAGTGATTTTCAAATTGCAGATTGTCATCAATAATTATATCAAGAAATTTTATTTCTTCTACACGCTCTATTTCAGTTCCATCTAAACACTTCAACACTATAACATCTTTTATTCGTGTTTGATATCTATCTTTAACTATCATAAATTTTGTTTTCTCTGTATTTATTTTTAACTTATTTACATTCATCCACGTTTCTACTTTATTAAATGCCGTATTCATTTTGTTCTCTAATTCCTTCCCATTTTCATCAGTCACATATATTAGCATATCATCTGCAAACATTTTTATATTGCATCCTTCTGGACATACTTTAATTATATCATTTATATATATTATAAATAATAAAGGTCCTAATACAGATCCCCGAGGTACTCCATATTCCGTGGTCAATAAATTTGACCATTCATTATTAAATCGAACCTGCTGTGTTCTTTTCTCAAAGTATGATTTTAACCATTCTAATACTTTCCCCCCAATTGCATATTGACATAATTTTTTAAATAATCTTTCCCTATCTATTGTTTCAAAAGCCCGTTTAAGATCAATGAAAATTACTCCTACCTTTTCTCTTTTAACTATTAGTCTCCATTCGTCAATGATGATTTGGATTGTTGTTTCATACGAATCATACAAATACTGTTTCCTAAAACTTGACTGATGCTCTGTTATAATATTGTTTTCTCCCAAATACCCTTCAATTTGTCTTTTTACTACTAACTCTAAAACTTCTTCAAATATTGATAACGTATTAATAGGTCTATATTCACTCGTTTTTTTCGCATTTTCTATTTTTGGAATCGGTATGATTGTGGATGTTTTCCACACTTCTGGACAACACCCTTCCCTTAAGGAAGTATTTATTATATCAACAAACTCTTCATTTATTTTATACCACACCTTTTGTAACACATCGCTAGTTATTTTCTCTTGTTTTATTACCTCTACCGTGCCTTTTTTATTTAGTAATCGCATAACAATCTTATTCAGATTCTCTACGTTAATTATCTCAAATTTATCCATTCCCTTATTTTTAATGACAACAGTTCTCACACATTCATCAATAGTCTCAATAATATCATCAGTAATCTTATTGCTGTTTATAGATTCTACTATAGTATTAATACTTTGGGTGTAATATAAATTAAATTTATCGGCTATATTGCATTCATAATATTTCTCGTTATCTGTTGGCTCATCTCTTACCATCTCTTTCAAAATTTTCCACATATTTGTAGGATTATCCTTATTACGATCTATCATATTTTCATAATATTTATTTTTCTTATTTAATTCATCTACGGAATTTTCTTCAATTGTAAATTGCAAATAATTTTGTTCCATATCATTACATCGCGCTTTTCCATATGCCTCATCTCTCAGATCCGCTTCTCTCATTTCATCTGATTGTAAGGACCATTTCTCCTCATTCCATATTGGAACTCTGATTTGTTTTATAGGTGCTATAATATTCAGCGCATCTATTATGTAATATACAAATTGTTCCGCTCTATCACTGATATTCAATCTGCGAATCTCCTCTAACTTATTAACCACTAATCCATGAAAAACGTCTACTTCAAATTGGCTATCCCTAACACTGTATTCTCTATATTTATTCTCAGATCTACTCGCATTCAATTTCACTTTTAACCACGCATGGTCCGCTATTTGAGATTCATAATCTACTTGCAATTCTACCTCCTTATTAGCAAAGACTAAATCTATTATTGTTTGTCTACCATTTATAATACGTGTTGGTCTATTAACATATTGTTTCATACCTAGGCTTAGCATTGTCGTTTTTAACGAGTTCGTATAAAAATTTTTCGAGTCCATAAAATTTATATTAAAGTCTCCAATTATCATAATACATTCTCCTTTTATTATTAATTTTTTTTCTAGCATCTCCTCTAGAAATTTTATAAACGTAGGATCAGTGTTAGATTGATTAGAGAGTTTGAACTTGGTTGGTGAACGGTAAAGTACCACTACAAAACCTTTATACACTTTATTTTTTACGTGTATCGCAGCAACACACCAGCATTTTGATTTTAAATCCGAAAATTCTTCCGTATGTATAATATCATCCCTAACGTATATAATAACTCCTCCTGAGTTTCCAGTTTCAAAATCTTGTCTAGTCGCGATAGTATAACCTGGTATATTCACTTTACTGTCTTTAATTTTTTTAGTCAATCTGGTCTCAGACAGCGCTATCAGCACAGGATTTTTCTTATTAACCTTATCTTGTACCTCGTCCTTATGTGTCGTCAAACTTTGCACATTTGTATATAGTATTAGGTTCTCTTCCTGTTGAATTTCAGTTTTAATAATGACATTTTCTTTATTTTTTTTTTCGGCTGCTTCACTGTAACTTCTTTGATCTTCTCCTATTAGCTCTTCCTGCTGAATCTCAAGTTTAATAATGACATTTTCTTTCTTCTTCTCTTTCGCTGCTTCACTGTAGCTTCTTTGATCTTCTCCTATTAGTCCATCAGTTCCTCCTTGCATTTTTCTTAAATCTTCCAATTCTTGTTTAATAAAAGGTTTTATTTCTCTTCGAATTATTTCTTTAATTATTTCGATGTCCTTCTTGCATTCTGTTTCATCCTTTCCCAATTCGTGCTTATTAGATCCTATCCCTTCTCGAATTATCATTTTAATTTCTCGAATTACTTCCATAATCATATTTTTAATTTCCTTCTTGCTTGCCGTTTCATCCTTAATTATTTCCTTCATATATTTCAGAAAGCAGTCTATCGTTGTATCAATTATACTCGATGATCCGCTCATAGCTAATGTTTCATTTCCATTGCTTGATATTGCAAACGATCCTGCAGATACTGTAGATCCTGTGGATTCTAGTTTGTCCTGGCTTCTCGTAGGTGTCGGTACCTTCTTCATGTCTGCTTCTTTAAGAGGTTCTACTAAAAATTTTTCAAATAATTAAACACATTACGTCATGCTTACTTATTGATGATTTATTTATACATTCAGGATGATAAAAAAGCTTCATGCATGTTTTATATGCTATCACAATGCTCTTTATTGCTTTCTTACATGCCAAGCATTCACGGAAAGAACGATTTTGTTGAAAGATCTAAAAATTTTGCTAAAAACAGATCTGAAAATAATTTTTATTAAATCATCAAAGTAATTTGTTGGAATGTTATATCTGATAAGCATTGCTATAAAACGTTTTGATATTTTAGCAATTATTTTGACTTTTGCACAAAATTATTTTGATTATTGAACAAAAATTTTTTTCAGATCTGGATTTAGCAAAAGTGTTCTTTCCATGTTGATATCGTTAATTAATATATTCGTCATCCATAATACTGATAGTTGTCGATTGCGAGGCTGATATTATCAGTACAACGATTCGTGAATTTTATTTTTTCCCACGTTAGCACTCTTATGCTCACCGTCTAATGTTTATACCTATCTTACGAGGTTTCTGCAGTGTCTCGCACAACAAATACTTTTTACGTTCACAAATTATCGTATTTAAGTTAGATAACACTTATAATTACCTTGTCTAAATCACTCTATGTTCATTAACTTTTTTATCACTTTCTCTCACTATTTCCTTATTTAAAATTGTTTCATTTACGAAACAATCTTTAACACGTCTATATGTTCAGAGAAATAGAGAGAAAGAGAGAGAGAGAGAAAGAGATAAAAAATGTGCCACGTCGCATGCAAGAGAGGAGGAGGCACGGAGTATGAAAAGTACGTATGATTTATTGAGGCCGGGAGTACATGAAATGTATAAGAGCATAAGCATAGCATAAAACCGTTAGACTAATGAGCATGGAGCGTAAAGTCGCCGTACTGATTTACATAAGGTTCTCATTGGTTCAGCGGTCTTATACTATTTTTTTATGCTCTTTTATGTATTTCATGTGCTCCCGGCCTAACGCTAACGTGCGTCGCAGGCGCGCGTTCAGTTAAAATCGCGACAGGATTAAATTCAACCGACGATATTCTACGTATTCTTGCCGAACCGTAACAAGTAACGACAATAATTATTCTGTGTTGATTGTATATATTAATTCTCATCGAAAGAGATAATCTCGTGAGTCACTCTTTTCTTGCCATTCAGGTCGGATGCGCGATCGCTTACGATTCTTTTGCGCGAGGTTATCTAACATGTCAGATATGTGTAATCCGTTCTGAGATATAACTATATAAATTGTTCTTTGATTATTTTTATTACAAATTTAATTTGAATACAAAATAATCTATAACGAATTAACAAATAATATGTTATCTGTAAAGATTACTAAAAATTATTTGATATCTGTTAAATTATTTAATTTAATCTAATCAATGCTATTATGTTTTTGTTGCAGATTTGAGTGTAGAACGTGGTCAGCGATATCGGTGAGTACAATTTAAGGTATAGGTGATGGTTTTTCTCCCCCCTGAAATCGTTAATTATTTCTCATCAATGCGATTTATTTCGCTTTTAGATTTTTGTAGATGGAAACTTTAATTGCATAGAAAACATTGAACAAAAAAGATATATAAGTCAGTCCCATCACTTTCATCAAAAAAAGATACTTGCTAAAAATACTTATTAATATAATTATCAAGTATTATAACAAACGAGCGATGTATGACATCTACTTACTTACATCCGAATCGTTCGGTACGACGATGCTCGGTTCTCTTTCATTCTTCTGATAAGAAAATCAATGATAAATTATATTTCTTTTTTATTCATTCGGCACAGCCTGATACGATGTCTTGCGATCGAGAATGAATTATCATAATACAATAATCGCAGTACTGTGTAACTTAGACACTCCCAAAATGAATTGACATATTATAGCTTTCTTATTTAAATTCGACCGCCGAGAGATTTAAACGTCGATAACTTCATACCGACTTCATACCGCGCGGATACAACAATGAGCGAACCATTCAAAGTATGTATGTATATACATACATATACCTGAAACAGACTTGCGATATAATTTGAATATAGAACGCTAGAGTAAACGGGTTTCACCTATAACGCACGTCCATTCTTTAGCTTCTCTCTGATATCAGCTCGCACTAGATAAGTGTTTCTTTATAGATAAGTGTTTTGCCGTCGATAAAACTTTTCTAAAAACGTTCATTATTCTTTATCATTTTTTATTTATTTAAACAAGTTAGTAGTCTTGTTTTGAAACAGATTATTTAAATTTATCACAAATTTATAAAATTTAGTGTCTATCTTTTAATTTTTACATTTATATCTTGGCTCTTGTTCTTTTATTTTGACAATTTTTATTTTACATAAAATGAGTTAGATAATAATATCGTAAAATATAAATAAGTAATGGAATTATTTTATAGTTTATGATATAAAAAAGTTTATTTTAAAATAATATATCGATATAAAAACGCAACGTTATTATATAGTGTCCCACGTTAGAGCTCGAGATGTCGCCAGTTAGACCATTTGATGGTTTAACATGGACACGCCTGAAAAAGACATCGCTAGATAGCGCCATCGACTCATTGAGCGCAAGTATTATACGCCATTGGCCGTACCCCGTAACAATAAATTGTTGTAATTACAATAATTCTTGCCTTTAAAGTGATGCTTTGTGTTTAAGTCCCATCGCCGCAACCAGTAATTTTAATTCATTATGCGGTAACCGCGAAGCGATTCACTCTTTTACCATGGTGACCTAAATCCCAACATGATTATCGAAAAGAAAGAATCTTTTTTCTCTTTTTTTTCGCCATATTTTTCATAATTTATTTCTATTACATATTTTTAATAAATAAAATATATTCGTGGACTTTCTTATTTGCATTGTATAAATCAACTTCCATAGACCAATAAATTAAAAGAGAAGTTTCGTATACAAGGGATATAAGTATACCTTATAGCTTCACTTTTTTAGTTAAATATAACTGAACATGTATAGTTCTGTTTACTTTTTAAGATAAGTATAGCTTTTAGCTACAATAGTTTCGTGATTTGATACAAGTATATAGGTCCGATTATCTACAGGTAGTACTTAGTTACTCGGTTGTAAGAAGATGCAGATTATCTTCGATGCGTAACTTCTTTCTCTGAAAAAGTTTTATCAACTTATACAACTTGTATATAAAAAAAAAGACATTTAATTTTCCACGAGGATAACAGCGAATACGAGAATAAATAAAAGATGCTGGAAAAATGAATTTCTGAACGTGGTGACCTTTGCATTGATATTTTCCACTTCACGATGAAGCATTGCTCAATAGCAATAATTAGCTTATAATGGATGTATAAGTCTCGAAGTGATTCCTCTCGGCAGGGGATTGCAATTAAGTCGCATCAGTATCCCTTTGAAACTGCTACCACACATCGGCGCGAACTTTCCAAATAATTATTATGTGCGTTATTTAATTCATTCTAATTACTTATTGAGCGCCGAATGTATCTATCTATTCGCGAGTCCGAGCATGATCCCTTCGGCGGAACATCCTCACGCACACATCCCCGATTTTTCTCTCTGACACTTTTTGCATAATAATCATGCGCGCGATGCATAATTCGCATATGCACGAAACGTTGTTTTCTCTAACGCTTTCCTCGGCCACGTGCGATTTCCGTGCGGCGATTTTTCCGTGGTCGCTTTCCCCTGACACGGCGCGGCGTGTCGACTTGTACGCGCGAGGGGCGCCTTTTTCGCGCGGGATCGCATCTTGGGGATACCAACCACCGTCACGTCGGCGAGTATGTACATCGTGCGCGACGCGGATCGGTCGGGTTCGCACGTAGCAATTTACGGAAACCGCACGTAACGCGCGCTCCGTGCCGACCCAAGCCAACACGAGCGAACGTTTCCATGGAGTGTTACGTAACGGATCGACGCTAGATCGACGGCCGAAGTAACTGTATTTTCGAAGAAGCGACCGCCGCGTTGAAGCGAAATCGTTGAACAAAACTTCGCCTAGGGGCAGCCGCCATATTTGGCGGGGATGATAAGGGGTGTGAGGTGTTGGTAGCTTTCATATAGAGTTTCTTGCAATTTTCGTGAAAATTCACTGGCTACAACCTCGGATCTCACCGAAAAAATATTTTCGATAGATTGCCCTCAGACAATTTTACCGTCATTAAATAATTTTATTTCGTTAAATGTAATTTTATATCTCATTTTTTTCTTGTTGAGTTAATTATTGTTGAATTAATATCATGATACGTTTCAGTTATTTTGATCAATACAATTGAACGTGCTTTAGTTCCAGCAACCGATAATTTACATACATTTTCGTGATTATAATATAGTATGAATGCGTCGCATCGTTAACAGGTGCGCCGTTTAATCGTATCTTTTTGCGAAATAAAAAATATCACGTGGTAATTTTCATGCAAGTCACCGTCGACTTTAGCCCGATCAGCAGTCTGTACAATGTTGCGTGAGTAGGTATTTTCCCAGTCGTATTTAGTAATCTATTCAAATGACCGATTATTACATTTCGGCCTTGATGTTTTGCACCGTTCGGGAATGAAAATGACATGTTAAAAGCACAATCGTTATAGGTGGCGAGCGAATGTTGCAGCTACTCTCTCATCCTGTAATCGTTTTTATAAAGATAATCTATTATTGCAAAGCATAAAGTGTTAATTTTAAGCAAGAAGCAGCATTATTAATCATCAAGACTAAAATTAATTTATATACTTTAAACAAAATATAATTACTAAAGATTATTTATTAATAACTCGCAATAAAAGAACTTTTCTCGATGATTATAACATTACTTTTAAAAAAATGCACGATAGATTAGTGTTCTAATGTACGCATTTGGATTTGTACAGCAATAGATCTTATTTTGATATTCAAAGATTTTTATTCACACCGATCTGCATTATAATGATGCAAATGCCAAACAACACAATCCCGGCAATTGGCTGTGTCTTTGAAAAGAACATTGCAGCACGGGTAGTCTCTCGTATGCAGAAAAAAATAGTATTTGCCGCGGAGAAGCGAGCGCAGGCGGAAAAACGTGCGCGGAGCAAGGGACGAAGCTAGCAGGAAGGTCTTCGAGGCGGAAGTTGCATGGCCAGCGCGAACAATGCGTGTCCCGCGAACGGTCGTTTAATAACCCTGATTTGCCGTTTATACGGGAGGTCATGGAGGAGGTGGAGGTGGGCAGCAAGAGGCACGGAGGAGAGGAGAGAAGTGGCGGAGGGTGCTGATGATGGGACGAGAGGGTGAGCATCGGGATCGCGCGCAACAACCGTACATAATCACGTAATGCGGTTATCATGCCAATTGCGTAAATATTTGAGCCAATTTGTGGCATGCAACGGATTCGCTCTCCTCGACCCGTAGCTTTATGAGGGAAAGAGAGAGAGAGAGAGAGAGAGAGAGAGAGAGAGAGAGAGAGAGAGAGAGAGAGAGAGAGACCACCGTCTGATCAGGGCGACCTATTACAGCCAACTTGTTGGCGTTTGCCGACCCGCGGATTTCCGTCTCTCTTTCTCTTTATCTCTGTATTTTTCCTTATTCTCTATTTCCTTCCCGTTTCTTCCATCTCGTCCGTCCAGATGCCGATCGAGGAACAAAGAAAAAAAGCTGACTGCCACGCGTAGAAACCGCGGCGACGCGACGGAGATGTTCTGCTTGCAGTAAACTTTTGATCATGTAGCATTTTTAGTAACCATTTGCTGCATCTATTAAGAATGACTGTCCA